AAAAAAAAAAAAAAAAAAAAAAAAGATTGTGGTTTTCGAGATACGTACGTGGAATAGCAATGTGTCTAACGGCGAGGCCATTTCCCAAACCAACAAGAAAACACAGCAATTTCCCCCCTTCTTCTCTCCACAGGTTTCTTCTAAAAATACTGTGGGTTTCCAGTTTCCAGTTTTCATCTTTTTCCTCTACCACCCCGCTTACCTCCCAAAACCATGGGCGGTTTTCTGTCAACCCAATTCCACAATCCACTCTTCCCAAACCGGCTGCCCCCTTCTATCTATATACTCTCTCTTCCATGGTCTCTTTCACTCTATCCAATAAGCCCACTGTTCTCCTCTCTGTCTCTCTCTCTAAGAACATTCTTCAAATTTTGAGTGTTAGGGACAATCTTCTGCTAACATTCTATAGCTAGTCAGGAATTTCTGTTTCTGGGGTGGTTTTAATGGAACCCAATAGTTTAGGCGGCGGCGGCGGTGCTAGTGGAGGGATGTTTCCCGGCATAAGTTCGTCAATGCTGGGATTGGAATTGCCACTTCATCAAAACCCCTCAAATCCTCACCAATTACACCACCCCCCAATGGTGTCATATGTCCCACACGAGGCCCACCACCAACAACAACCGCCGCCGGCCGCAGTGAAATGCCCATACCCGGCGAAGCCTAAGCCGCAGCAGTCGAATGTCAGCGACGAGGAGGAGCAGGGATTAGCGGACGACAGCAACAGCGACGCCAAGAAGAAAATCTCGCCGTGGCAGAGGATGAAATGGACGGACATGATGGTCCGGCTGCTGATCACGGCGGTGTTCTACATCGGCGACGAAGGTGGGTCGGAGCCGATGGACCATGCCAGCAAGAAAAAACCAGTGGGGCTTCTGCAAAAGAAGGGGAAATGGAAATCCGTATCCAGAGCAATGATGGAAAAAGGATTCTACGTTTCACCGCAGCAATGCGAAGACAAATTTAACGATTTAAATAAAAGATACAAACGAGTTAACGACATTTTGGGGAAGGGCACCGCCTGCAGAGTCGTCGAGAATCACACCTTATTGGAATCAATGGAATTAACACCGAAAGTGAAAGAAGAAGTCCGAAAATTACTCAATTCTAAACATCTTTTCTTCAGAGAAATGTGCGCTTACCACAACACTTGCCGTCATGGCGCCGGCAACAGCAGCGGCGGCGGTGCCAATACCTCACCAGAGGCGGGGACAGAACCATCCCACCTTCCACAACAACAACAACAGCAACGATGCTTCCACGCGACGGAGACCGCTCCAGCCGCCACGGCCGGCGAGGGTTCGAAAAGCGGAGATGAGGAAGAGGAAGACGAGGATGAGGATGATGAAACGGAAGAAGACGATGAGGAGGTGGAGGAGGAGGAGATTGATGGAAGTTCGAAAGTACAGGAAGAGGAGGAGGAAACGGAATCGAAGAAGAGGGGGAGAAAAGAAGGATTCACATCGGGGATTCAGCAGATGTGTGCGGAGGTGATGGGAGTTGTGCAGGACGGGGGGAGGAGCCCGTGGGAGAAAAAGCAATGGATGAAGAGGCGATTGATTCAGCTAGAAGAGCAGCAAGTGGAATACCAATCGCAGGGCTTAGAGATTGAGAAACAGAGACTGAAATGGCTGAAGTTTAGGAGGAAGAAGGAGAGGGATATGGAGAGAGCGAAGCTGGAGAACGAGAAGAGAAGGCTGGAAAACGAGAGGATGATGCTGATGGTGAAGCAGAAGGAACTCGATTTGACGGATCTGCACAATTATCAGCAGCAGCAGCAGCAGCAGCAGCATTCCTCGAACAGGCGAGGTGATCCATCTTCGATCACAGGTTGAAGATGAAGAAGAAGAAGAAAGGGATTAGGGTTTTTGAATTTGGGGGTTGAAATGTAATTTTAAAATAATTATAAACCCCGTTTGGTTTGGTTTGGTTTTTCAATATTTTATTTATAACTGATTTAGATTTTGTCTGATAGATGTCGGATAATTCTGAATAAACCAAACAGAAGCTTTTCATCTTTTTTTTTTTTTGTATTATTAATTATTATTTTTCCTTACTATATCATTTGGACCACACAAAAAGCTATTATTGGGCCCAGCCCATATTCGTGACCAAGCCCAACAAACAAGACAAAATGTTGAGCCCGTTGGGCTCAAATCTGGTCCAATTTAATTCCTTTTTCTTAGCGGTAAAATTGAAGGCAAATTAGAGGAATATTGCAAAAAAAAAAAAAAAAAAAAAAA